TGAACTTGAATTGAATGAGCTTCAGAACTGTATCTTCTCATTTTAACATTTGAAGAAAAAAAATATGCTATACTGTAGCAAAATTACAGCAAATTTTTTACATAACATCTATGTTTTCCAAAATGTCAACATTCTGGTAAAAATGCAAGACAGAATCTAATTTATTTTTTACATCAGAGGTCAGTGAAAAACAAAACCTCTGTTAATTTAAGCACTTGGGATCTGAGACATTTTTAGAAAAAATCATTATTCAATATACTTGACAACCATTTCCTATAACATAATCAATGCTTTAAAAAAAAACATTAGTGCAACTTTACTCTCACCTAGCTGAGACAATAAAACGTTGAATAATCGTCTCATTATTAATGAACACAACCATCATAAATATCAAATTGCTAAGTTGTCTCATTTGCATTTTTAAACAAAAGCCATTTTGATGATTTAAATTACACTACCCATTGCTAAGAGTAAACACAACAGTTATCAAATTGTGCTTTTAGCAAGTATTCAAGCAACACAATTTTTGCACCATTTCTGACTTTTGAATGATGTATGCATGCGGGCACCTTTTACTATATGTATGAATTTGCTGTCATTACTACAAGATTAAATTTCCAAGTCATTGACATTCTGTGCAAGGTACAAAAAAAGGAGTGAACAGCATAAAAAGACTTGTTTAACATTATACATGTACCATATAGATTTTATCACAGAGACCTCCACCGTTGTTTTTTGTGAGTGAAGTCAAGTTCAGCTTTATAGAGTCATGGTGAGTGCACAGAACAAAAAAGCAATATCTGTGACAGCAAAGCTGCTGCACTAAAAGCAGTTTAAGAAAATGTGCTGCTCCTTGGTTTTCCTCGTCCCAAGTGGAAGCCAGTGGTGCCGTCAGGTCCTCTGGGCTGTCGAATGACCCCTTCCATTCCATACATCTTGTGTTTTTCGGGGCTCTTTCCATTGACCTGATTGGCTGACACTTGGCCTTTATCCTGACCAGCCAGCATCATCCTTCTCTGTACCCACGGGCTTGACGGTTTACCATCTGCAGAATGTTCATATTTCTTTCTTCCCAAGTCTGGGCTACACTGAGGGCTCAACTTTGGACTAGTACTTGGACTTTTCTTGTCATCGGCCAAAGGTGAAATCCCATGAAAATTTCTTCTTCTTGACCTTGGACTGGTTTTAGGACTAGATTTTGGACTTGACCTTGGGGAGGAATTTGGACTTAGACGATTTGAGTCATACTGATTTGGACTGAGAGTTCTTTTGAGCATAGTATGCTCTTGATTTGGACTCATGGTTCTTTTCAGTTTTTGGTGTTCCATCTGACTTCCACTCAAAGATTTCTTGAGTGATGGATGTTCCTTATTATTAGGGCTCATTGTTCTTCTAAGAACAGGATGTTCCATATGATTTGGACTCAGAGTTTTTTTAAGCACTGGATGTTCCATGTGATTTGGACTCAGTGTTTTCTTGAGCATTTGATGTGTTCTGTAATTGCCTTTTTGAGGTACGCCAAACTCTGCCTCTGAACCACTACTGTAGTAGCAAGAAGAATCATTGTCAGCGAGTTCATCAACTCTGTTTTTCTTTCTTCTTTCTCTCCTCTTCTTTTTCTTATCCTTCCCTTCACCATCATCCTCTTTTCCTGAATCATCGCCATTGTCCTTCTTTTTATTCTCTTTCTTCTTCTGAGCAGCAAGTAAAACAACACGCATGCCCTGACGCCAATCTTCAGTATCGTTCATTGTTTCACAAGCTTTTTGTGCTGCTTCATGCTTCTCAAACTCTACAACAGCACAGGTTGTCGTTCCAATCTCTGGATGCTTGATGGAATGTTTTTTCACATCTTGTGGCACGGACTTCCCTGGTCTTAAAATCCTAATAAGCGAAACTTCACCACACTTGGAAAACATTTCTGCCACATTCTCGATAGATGGGTTTTCCATGGGTAAATTAACGACCACTACAGAACGTGATGGGGTGGTTTCATCCCATTCTGGTAGAGGGTCCTTTCTACGTACTTTCCTCCCCTCTTCATTCACTTCTAGTTTTTCAGAGTGTCTCAGGCTATAAGCAACAACCCGATAATCTTTAGTTAAGGATTTCACTTTCTTAAAAGAGGTTATGAGTTTAATACTCACAAACCCTTGTTTGTTTCGACGCACATGCTTCAGCAGAAATGCATCCTTCAAAATATTGGGATCAGAAAAGTAGAACTCCACCTGTTTGATAATTCTGTCGCGGAGTTCGTCGTCCGGTGCCACAAATTCCGGCTCGTCCGCAGTCCGGTTTTCGTCGTGACTTCCTTCATGACTCCCTGCTTCTTCCTCGCTGGTGTACGCAGAACTATTGCCATCGTCCTCCACCCGCAGTCGCTCCACCTGCAGATGGACTGGGGTGAGGCTCCTTTCTGTCACACCGTTGTCCCCAACAGATTGTTCCCCCGTCAGCTCTTCACGGATCTCGGGGACTTCGATTTTCTGCTCCAGAGAACTCATTTTAGTATCCTAGACAGAAAACACTCACCACAAACACAGAAGAATTAAATCTCGTTTCGTAAAAGGCAGCAAAAATGCGGAAAATACCACAAGACTCTCTGCCTGTTTACTCGTAAATGTGGCTGTGTTTTGCGTTCCCGATGTGTGACGTCAGTTCCGATTCTGACCAATCCTCCTATAATCAAAGTACTGAAAGTACTTCAAGTGTGACTTACAATCAACCGTGAAAGATGATTACACATATCAATATTCCGTACATAATCAGCAAACACGGAAGTACTGAGTATTAGTATTTGGTTAGATTATCGGAAATGCACTGTCGTTATTTTTATTTCTTGTCACTTAAAGTGAAACACTTTTTAATTACATCGTTTTTTGAGTTTTTAATTAGGCCTAGGCTTAACTTTCAAATCGCCCCTTAATTTTCTGAAGAAAAAAATATTCACAGGCACCTATTATAGTTTTGTATACAGTATAGGGAGCCAGTATAAAGATTCAACTTACTCGAAATAAGGACATATGTCCATACTAGAAACAGGTGCGGATCCAGAAATTTTTTTTCAAAAGGGGGGGGGGGGTCTACCCCAGTCAAAAAATCACAACCCAGAAATTTCTTGACAAGCCAAAAAAAAAGTAAACTAAAACCTATTTCGTGGTGGAAGGGAATGACTTTCAAAGCTTCATACTAATGACTTTTCATACCATAATACCATAATCACATAGATCCGTGTTTTGGAAGAGGGATCTCCGTTTTCTTTTTTTTTTTTTGGGGGGGGGGGTCCAAGATACCATTTTAGTTGCTTAATAAATAAATTTACAAAAAAAGCAAATTCCCGGGGGTGGTGTTGTTCGCCCCCCCCCCATCCACGCATGCTAGAAAATAGGAACTACGGGTGTGGGGTGGGACGATCCAGCGTCTTTCAATGGTACCGAATGACCGTGACGATTTTCCAGAAAGAGTTAATATTGTCTGAAAAAGCAACAGAGTCGAGGCGCCTTGATGATGAAGACAAGATCGAGAGGGGAAAAAAAAAGAAAAATTAAATTGCGATACTATCATGAATATAAACGCTGATAAATGAAACCGACACTACAATTTCTTATATTGTTTTTTAATAAATGTTTAGACTCAATTTTCTTAATTAAGAATATGTTTCCCCTACTGTACGCAGTGCTGTGTCTTTGATATGGTATAATAATGATTAAATAATGCATTTATTGCCGAAGTGTCTAAAAAATCAAACGGCAAACCTTTGACAAAGAAACAAAACAGACTTGTATTATTTCTCGCTAAGTAAAACTGTACAAGGCATACCACTATAGTTAATAAATAATAGGCGGTAAATCTGATACCATCCCGCACCTCAGATCTCCAGATTTCCGCATTATTCCGCATTTTTTCCTCATTTTAATATGGAAAAAATGTGGAAAAAAATACGGAAAGAATTAACAATGCGGAAAAGCAGAAAATATACGGAAATAATCCGGAAAATAAACGGAAATAATACGGAGAATTGGACTTAGTCTATTTTTCATCTGGAAAAATTTGGAACTCTTAACTTAGAATATTTTTCATCTGGAAAAAATACGGAGCTCTGGACTTAGAATTTTTTCATCAAGAACAAAATGTGTTTGTGAAACACAGTAGCACCTGGCGGCAACATTAAGTTCTTAAAAGCAATTTTTAGCAAATGGGTCTCAGTCAAGGTCACAAGGTCATTGACCTTGGTGTCATTTGAAAGAACTTTATTAGTGGAGTACGCATACCAAATATGAAGTCTCTATCTCTCATGGTTCAAAAGTTATGGCGAAAGTTCGAAAAGCTATTTTCAGCACATAGGTCACAGTCAAGGTCACAAGGTCATTGACCGTGGTGTCAGTTGAAGGTGCCTAATTAGTGGAATATGCATACCAAATATGAAGTCTCTATCTCTCACGGTTCAGAAGATATGGCAAAAGTTCGAAAAAGCTATTTTTAGCATAAAGGTCACAGTCATGGTCACAAGGTCATTGACCTTGGTGTCAGTTGAAAGTGCCTAATTAGTGGAGTACGCATACCAAATATGAAGTCTCTATCTCTCACGGTTCAGAAGTTATGGCGAAAGTTTGAAAAAGCTATTTTTAGCATAAAGGTCACATTCAAGGTCACAAGGTCATTGACCTTGGTGTCTGTTGAAAGCGTTTTTGTAGTGGAGTATCCGTACCAAATATGAAGTCTCTAAGTCTCACGGTTCAAAAGTTATGGCAAAGGTTATTTAAAGTTGATAACAGACAAACAAACAGCTAAACAGACAAACAGACAGACAGGACAAAAACAATATACGCCCCGAAAAAACTTGGGTGCATAAAAACTGTCTTGGGGTTAACAGCAGTTCTCTGTTTCTCCTGAATGTTATGTACAATTTGATCGGGATCGGAAGAAAGTTTCAAAAAGTCGGGCTCAGTGATCAATTAATTTAAACAACAGACCGCCAAAATTTAACCTTGGCCTGGTGCAACGTCTGCTCTGTCTAAAGGAGGAAGTTTGTTTACCAGACAGCCTGAGATCGTATTGCTGTATCAACCAAAAGATGCAGATACACGTATTTCATATGCAGTAGGTCAGTCATATTTTTTTTAACATGTGTGTCACTGTGATGATGAAAATAAATACTCTAGGCCTAGGACTAAGCTAACAGGCTACGTACGTTTCAGCCAATATGCCCATGATTCAAATCTTTCAATCAGCTCATAGAATTTTATTATGGTTAACCACAATTAAAGGTGTTAATTTTGGAGAGCCATGGGCTGTAATCTCTAGCAATGATTTTATACCATACTTTTATTTTGGTAGTGTCTGTGCATGAGGAGGAGATTTCTGAAAGTGGTTATTCAACTTACTGCGATTTTAACAGGCTTAAAGCTTGGTCCATGGATGGTTATGTTTGAGGTATATATATTCTTTTTTTTTTCTTTTTTTATTGCTTGTTTATATAAAAACAGTCAACTATGATTTTCATTATTATAAATATTATTTTAAACAAATTGATATAAAATTGAAAAAGGAATAAAAGCAATGAATTTAAATTTTATTAATATTGCACCATTATAATTTAAGTTACTTAAATTATAATGGTGCAATATTAATAAAATTTAAATTCATTGCTTTTATTCCTTTTTCAATACTTTTTTTTTAACTGATAGGATTTGCCAATTCGACTGCAAGTGCTGCTGCAAGAAATTAAACATGCAGTGACCTTACAACAGTGTACAAATTACAAAGAAGTCTGAAGAAAATTTTTATTAGACAGATGGGTGCAAAGCACAGACCTGAGATATAAATTGAATTGTGAGAAATATGAATCAGGGATGCAGGTAGAAAATGGCAAATGTGATCCAGATTGAGAAAAAATGTCTAAAATTTTTTCTTGTTTTGTAAATATTCAATGCTTAGCCTATGTCAGTTGTTATTTTTTCCCCAATATCTAATAATGTTGAACATTTCACTCCCACTTTTGCGTAAATAGAATGAATAGATTTCCATTTATTTAATATGAATAGTAAAATATGCCACATTTTTTCCATGATGAACTTGTAGCTTAAATAAGAGTTCCAGTTTTTTTCCATACATGCTCCTATTTGTTTGTCAAAAATATAAGATCCAATACATTGCTCATGAACATAATGTGTAATTTTGTTCATTCATTTAGATGTTTTTTTCTCATAATGATATAATAAATTGTATATAATTTTGCACATTGTTGATGGTTTTGTAAACATTTATGTATGTATGCATCATGTAGCGGTTTTAAGCCATTTTATAACCATGTGATTAACTCTGTATTTTCTCCAGATTTCCGTATTTCCGCATTTTATCAACCAAGTAAATACCTCCATATTTTGTATATATGGAAATGCGGAAATATAGAAAAATGCGAAAAGAGTCCCAATATTTCATCCACATTTTCTCCATATTTTGAATACGGAGAAAATCCGGAAATTTGAATACGGAGAAAATCTGGAATGAATGCGGAAAATTAGTCCAAATACTCCCGTCCGCATTTTCTCCTTATTTTGAATATGGAAAAAATGTGGAGATCTGAGGTGCGGGATACTCCCATCAATCCCGATAGATTTTTTTTTTCAAACCACTGAGCTGCAGAGAACCATTTTATATTTTCCAGGTTTTGCTATTTATACCCGCACTTTCTAAAGAAAGTTCGGGTATTTTTGTTACTCATGTTCCGTCCGTCCGTCCGTCCGTCTGTCACACTTTTCTTCCCTAACTCCTCCTACATTTTACACAGTAGCTTAATCATCTTTTGGGAGATGGTTTGTGGGGTCATGTAGATGTGCAGAAGGTTTTGGAAT